AAAAAGATTAAATTAAAAGTTTAAAAAAGAAAGAAAGTGATTTAAATAGCGCTAAGTCAATTAGCGCGTATTTATTAGCTTTTAAGTCGAGCAAAGCAGATACTTTATACGAAAGGCTATTTTTAGTAAAGGTAACGAGTATAATCATAGCTTTATTATTAAAGAGCTTCGTAAGGTCGAGGTACCGCATATCTCGAAGCTAGCTTAAAAAAGAGGCTTTGCTTAAGCTTCGACGTTTCTTTTATTATCGAAAGCGTTAGAATTAATAAAAAAAAGCTTTTAGTAATCCTTAAAAGCGTCGGAATAAGGCTTATCGTCCGAGTCATCCGAATAAAAGCCGTATTCGAGTTTAGCGCTGTATTTTATTTCGTTAATTAAGTGATAACGAAAGAGCTTTAGCGTATTCGGATCTTTGCGAAACGATTTAAAAGTTTTGATCGCTAACTTAAAAGCGTTTCCGAGAGAAAAGAATTTATTAAATCAATTAAATCGATCTGCATTAGCGCTAAAGCTATTAAAGATTTAGCGCTAAAAAGTAAAAAAAAAGACGAGAGCTAAGCTACTTTAGCGGTTCTCGTAATAAATGATTTGCTTGACCGCTATTCTTTAAGTTAAGCGAGATTCGTTACGAGCTTTATTATAAGAGCTTTTTGCGAATTGAGTGTTATACTTAGCTTATAAAGCGTCGTAAAGCTTTGCAGACGCGTATTAGCTAGCAGCTAATTATTAGACGGCGGTTTAAAAGTCTTTAAAGGTTATAATTTTAGCAAATTTTAAATAAAGCTGGTCGCGCAGCGTCTTAGTGATCTTAAAACGCAAAGCTTTACGTAATCGGTCTTCGTCTTTAATTTTAGCGGTAGCGGCAAGCTCCGAGAAAACAAAATAAAAGTTTTAAAATTGCTAGTTAAGCTTTATATAAAGTTTTTCGAACTTAATTAACGCTTTAGCCTTTTTAGCGAGGTCGTTTAAGAACTCGAAAGCGATCTAAACGAGTTCTAAAGCGATTACAGAGTTGCTACGATCTATAACCAAAAAGGCTAAAAACAAATAAGCTGTTCTTTCGGTTTGATTAAAGACGTAGTTCTTGCGCTAGCGTTTTATAAAGAAGTATTTATCGAAAGCTTTTAAATTATCGAAGACGCGGGCTTGCTAATAGCGTGCTCGATAGCTTATACCGTTTAAAAGCTTTTGTTTAAAGTTAAAGATTCGCTCGATACGAGCTCGACCTTAAAAAGCTAAAGAAAAAGCTTTAAAAGTGTTGAACTTAGCTAAAGTGCGAAGGTTGATTAGCTTATAAAAAGAAAGTGGTTCATCGTCGTCGGCGAAGAAGCGGCGAAGGTTAGCGATTTTATAAGTAAAAGGAGTAGTTTAAAAGACCGAGAGCTTGTATAGCTCTTTGCTTTTAAAGTTATCTTCGAAAGAGACTTAAAGAGGCTTTGACGAGCGTTTCGTAGTTAGCAAGACCGCTTAAAGCTGGTTTAATTCCTTTCGAGCTCGACGAGCTTTTTTTTTAGCCTTTTTAACGAAGGTTTTTTATTCGCTAGCGCTTTTATCGAGCTTTTCGTTTCGGGTTTTCATATCTACGAAGAGCTTCTTAAGCTCAGCGGCCTTTCGTTAAGACTAGAAGAAAGCTTAGTATTGGGCCAAGGCTTCCTCGGGGTTAGTAAGGGCCGAAGGATCATCTTCGTCGTCTTGCTTACTAATAGCTTCTTTTTGAGTAAAAGGAACTATTAATTAGGCCGTAGAAGAGGAAGGAGCTGCTAGAGCAGCTTTAAGAGGTGTGCGGAGGATTTTGCTCGCGAAGCGAAAGTTGCTATGTTGTATAAGTGCTATCTTTCAAGTTATATTTAAAATAAGCCTTCTCGTGACCGTTAAAGTCGTCTAAGTGTTTTTTAACGTCTAACTACTAAGGAATTTTAAAAAAGAAGAATATTATTAAAGCCGTTCTCGGCGGAATAAAGTAGTTATTGATAATGTAACGACCTTAAGCGATTACTTAAAAGAACTTACGAGAGCGCGAGGGTTCATATAAGAGCTTAAAAGAATTTTAAAGTAATAACTTAAAATCAACAACTACCGAGTGTAGAGGTCGAAAGTAGCTAAGGTCTATATACACGAAGGTAAAAGCGCTAAGGACTCGTGAACCATGGTTTATAAGTCAAAAGCGGGGAATGAGAGAATACGAAGGAAAAAAGGAAGGAAGTAGCTTGGCGCATGTGAAGTGCGTCCAAGAGACCTGGCGTGTCGTCACAGATAAGGAAACCCTATAGGTTTAAAGTAAGACAACTAAAAATAATATATATAAGGCCGTTAAAAATAAAACAAATTTACGAATATTTATTAATTTTACTTAATTATTATATTTATTTATTATATTTATTAATCACATATGTTATACTTTACAATTACATTGCATTATATTATAATAAACTAAAATTACTAAACAAAATTTCTAGTCATGATTTCTCGCAATTTCTTAATCAACGCTATATCCTTGTTTTAAATCGTTATTCGTTTAGCGTGAATAGCATATAAGTTCGTTACTAAAAGTGATTAGTAAATCGATTAGTAAATCGATTAGTAAATAAATATATAAGTACTTACTTTTAAACTCTCTTATAAGGAATGCTTTTAAAGCTTTTTGTAAATATTTTAAAGCATCGCTTTAAAATTTAAAGTTTTATTTAAAATCGTAAGTGATCTTTCGAATAAGACGCTAGAAAAGAGTCTTTTTAATAAGAAGCTCGGTGCCTTTTTAGTATCGTCGGATCTTTTTTAACGCAATAGTTATATAAATCAATAATTGTACTTAAGAATCAATTTATTAATTGATTAAACTTACTTCTTAGCTTATAACGACGGCGCTTTCGTTAGCTTAGACTTTTTTTTTTCGCAACAACTATAGACTTTTTAAGATACTTGCTTTTTTTAGATTTTCAACGAAAAAAAGTTTTAGTTGCCGAAAGTAATTTGCTAGCTAATAAAACGGAGCGAGCAGCTTTAGTCGTCGAAAGTGATTTTTTAGCTCTTTTGTATTAAGAGAAAAGAATATCATTTTCACTTAAGTTTTCCTTATTATCGCTTTGCTCTTTTTTATTTATATTATTATAAAGCATCATCTTCGTCGCGGTTTTTGTAGCTATAATTTGGCCCGAGACAATAAGAGACCTTTTAAAAGCCTTTTGCGCGAAAGCTTTTTTAATGCGATTGCTAATAGAAGCAAAAGAAGGTTTAGCAACTATAAAAGAATTATTTTTAGCACTTAAGTCGTAAGACGGATCTTCGTTTTAAAGTTAAGCTAATGCACTCGCTTAGCTCGTCGATTGTTATATTGCTTTTAAAGCAGTTTTAAAACAATTAGCGAACGAAAGAAAAAGGTTTAAAAAGATTAAACTTATTAAAAGCTATTAGTACTTATATTAGTATTATCAAAAACGATGCTTTTATTTATTTCGGATTAAATAGCCGAAGTAAATCTGATTGCGTTTGCTAAAGAAAAATTTGATTAGTAAATATTTATTAATTATAAGTTAAAAACATTATCGGATCGAAGTCTAAAAGATAATAAGTGCTAGTTTGTATTTGCGCGAGAGTTTATTAGTATTTAAAGAGCGTCACTTAAAATGATAGAAATTAGCAATTATTAATTAATAAAGTAATTAATACTTATTAGCTTAACTTTAAGAAATTCGGCGAGAAAAGGACAAGGATAAATCGGTTCTTTGTTATGTATTTGCAATATCGCGCGAGGTTTTGAGAATTTCTATAAATGCTTATTAGCTATTTGCAATTGATTTACTAATCAATTTATTAATTAAATACTAACCGGATAGCTATCGAGTTGTAATAGCGCGGCGCTTAGCAAAAGTAAAGTTAAGAATTTCTGTAAATGCTTATTAGCTATTTGCAATTAATTTATTAATTAATTTACTAATTAAATACTAATCCGTCGACGCGTCGACGCGCCGCGATACGTATTTTTTTGGTTTTGTTGCATATCGTAATTTTTTTATATACGGCTTTATTGGCCTTAATAATAGCTCAATTAAAAAAAAAAGTGGCCCGTGCACTTCTATACAAA